CATGCAATCATACGTCCGTCCTCTAATTGTTATCAGACCACGTACGAAGTATATTATCGCGTACATATCTAGGTATGTACCTGCGCAGCGTACACCGCAATTTCTTTTCAATCATGAGCTTTCGTTGAAGTCAGCCACCAAGAGCCCAACCTCTACACACCCGGGCTTGGTGTCACGGTTGCGGAAACAGCCGAGGAGGCTGTCGCCAGCTGGTACAGCTCAAGTATGTTTCCAGCTCCGCAATACTCATAACGGTCTCCGGCACACACCATCGTTTGACAATTAGCTTCGGGAGCAGGCGTGCTAAGAATATCCAGAGTGTTACCACAATAACACTCGCGTCCATATTCTGCCGCCCAGTACGTAAAGCCACTGCAGTTCGAAGCACACAGTTCCAATGTCATGGCGTCGTCTGCGTAAGAGGCCCCGGTCAGCGCCCTACCCCCAGGGATTTCATTGTAGCAGCCGACCCGGACGTATGGCGACACAGTTGGTTTGGGAGCCAGTGTGGCAGTCGGTGGGGGTTGGCTTGCCGTAGTGCTGTATAGCTCTATCCTATTACCGTTTCCACAGTATTCCGTGGCGTCACCACCACAGACCATCGTGCAATCGGTCAAGGGCGCGACCTCGCTCGTTGATTGGAGAGAATCACCACAGTAGCCTAGGTTGATCGTCAGTCGTGCCTGTTGAGGGCGATACTTATTTGTATGTAGCAACTTACACTCCCGACCATACTCCGTACCCCAGTAGATGTACCCCGTACAATTTTGCATGCAGCTTTCCAGCGTCATGCTGTCATACGCGAATGCCGCGCCGCCAAGAGCCCTACTACCTTGCGCGGTGGATTCTTTCTGGCATCCCACAAGTACATAGCCCCCTAAAGCCTGTCTGTGATGTAGCGTCTCCGTTGGCGCCGTGGAAGAAGTGCTGGTGCTGCTCACGGTAGCAGATGACGACGAGGCGGAAGACGTCGACGAAGTTATGCTAATCGATAGAGTCGAGGACGAGGAAACGGTACTCGCAGAGGAAGTACTTGACGGTCCCGATGAAGTCGACGATTGGCCCGTATTGCACATAGACGACGGTGGGTTTGGGAAAGTCTGACATGTTCCTCCCAAATCGCTTGCTGCATTGAAGTCGTCTGTGAGAGCCGAAGAGCCGCTTCCGCTAATGACATCGATCTTGGACGCATATGCAAGGTCGCCAAGGCCGGTATAGTTTGCTGTATAAAAGGTATAATCACCAACACAGGTCCCTTCAAGCATGGTCAATGTGGCATTTTTGAGGATTGGGATCGGCCGGTTCGGATTTCCCGTTGGTGTCTTGTACGAGAGATACATGCTGACAGGGAACGACTTGCGATCATTACGAACCTAGGGAATCAGATCAGTACTGGTGTCCATGATCAAGACAACGAGGCATGACCCACGGCTGCTGTCACGGTCAGGGTACCGGAAAAGAGGCAACTTTGAGGCATCTGAATCAATACCGCGTCTTGTAAAAGATACGAATTCCCATTGTTGTCGAAGGTTTGGCTCGTTCCGCTAGCCATATTGAGGGTCAGGGTATAAGATGAAATTCCAGTGGAGGTTGAGATGGCAGCGCTAATGGGAAACCACTTTGTGCGTGTTGAAGTTAGTCATGAGCAGAATCGGACACTATCTTGTGGACTTACAACAAATTGATCGTCGAAGCCCTGGGAGGCGCCCAAGACAGTCGCGGTGTATTTGCAACTTGTCGTCCCGCAGTTGTCGCCGCCGCTTCGATCTTTGTAGTTGAGCGTCAGGCTAGCCACTGAATCACCTCCCAGGTCGGTGGTTCGCACACGTATAAGTCCAGTCAGCTGCATTGTGTTGGCCCCAGGGTTGAGTGCCAGTTGTATATCAACTGGCTTGACAGCGTAGGGTTGAATAGGATCCGATAGAACCACTCCATCCGGCACTGTGTCGATCAACTTCTGAAGAACTTTCGCGCATATGTTATTGAACTCAGCAGCACCCGCCATTGCTTTGACCGTCACGTTGCTGTCGTAGTTGAAAACCTTGAAATCCGCATTCCTCGTGGCCTTGATAGATGGCCCTACCACCAAGGGGTTGGTCGTGTTACCAGCGATATATTCGGTAACTACCTTGTTGTCGAAGACTGCAACTGTCGAGTCCAGGGCAACCTCACCATTCGGTGCAGAACCTAGGGGAACAATCTCTGGGAATTCGACATCATGGACGCCCCCGATAGAATGACCGCAAGCTGTGACTTGAATCATCTCGGTCTTGTTGAATCCCATTCGTAGAAACTGCTGCTCGAAAGTGAAGGCAGTATTCTGTGGCAGCGGGACACCAATGGGGCCGGCTGCCACAGCATCCACCCTCCCACCGCTGAAAGGCACCACAGGACCGCCGCAAGACCTGACGGAGTAATACACACCCAGAGCGATAAGGTCCGCCACGCCTGATCGGCTTGTATAATAGTCGGCCATGAACTGGAGAGTTGTGTTGAAGCCCGGACCCAGGTTGTCTGAACTGGTCAACTCGTACTGCAGTGAACCATCCAAGCCACCGGCTCGTACGTTTTCCAGGTCCGTAGTTGTGGCCATATCATGAAAAGCAGCTCGTAACCACTCCGCAGCATTCTGTCGACCAGGCCCAGATGCTTCGTTGGAACATGGAATGACAGTCCCGCCAAAATCTCTAGCTCTATATCCCTTGACCTGGTACATGATCTCTTCAAGCTCGTCATTCGGGGATGGCCAGGTCGGGTCTGCCCTTGAGATGACGCTCAGGGAGAATACGCCCAACCAACAGGCGACTGACAAGTGCATCGTGAAAGGCGATATTACAAATAATAAATTATAAATTAAGACACAGGCCAAGAAACATGGAAACAGCAACGAACCTCTAAGCCATAAGGAATATCGGGGCGGCGAGGCTGTTGCAGGAGACAGACGCGACGCTTGACCGAGAAGAAAGCAACAGGATAATTTGCGATATAAGGAGCGAACATAATAAGAGATATCTGAGAATCTACATCTTGACTTGTGTATTTCGAAATTTCCACTGCTACACTGTGCCTGACAATCTATCGACAAATTTTGCGAGATAGGAAAGCGAGCCGCCCCGAGCGTGGCAGCTGCAGACCCCCTGCAAGGACATACATAATACGAGGCCTCGCAGCGATGCAATGTTACCCAGGGTAGCGCCTAGAATCGGATCGGCCAATAGCCGCGAGAACTTGAAGCCGTGATCTTGTCGAGACAAGAGTTGACTCGAAGGCATAAGCATACATACGTATCTATGTACCTTCTGCTGGCAGCCCTTTCAACTGGAGAGATCGGTTTGACAAGACGGTAAGCAATGGAACGATGATATGCGACAAGACAGTCAGCTGGCTGCGCTGTGAGTCTAACTCAGCAACGAGGGGCCGAAGAAATCAACAGAAAGTATTACAAGAGTTCGAAAAATCGTGGCTGGATAGCAATCTTACCGTCTTCACGGGTCTCGCATATCGACGCACTGGTACTCTATGTGACCATAAATGAAAGTCCAGCCATGGATGGACCAGTTCAACGGAGATAACAGCATCAGTCGCACCTCGCCATCATATGTCCCTACCTGTGTAGGTACCTATGTAATAGCCACCTTATCAGGCGACTCTCTCTTTTTGGTGGTCTGCTTCGTGTTAGTATGACCTGCAAAGGATGAGTGGCTTGCATTAGAGGTTCGGGCGCTTTTTCAGCCTCGCCTAATATACATGAGACAAATAGGTTCACTGGGTAAGCCCGACGTCGCGTGCAGGTGCGCCACATAATTTGTCCGGTCATGTGTATCAAGCCAAACCTCCTTCGAACTTGTGTGACTTGGAGAGCTGGAAATTCGACTCGTGAAGGCTGAGAAGATTTGACATTCGTTGGGAGGTCTTGTAAACTCCAACAGCTTGGAGACTAAGGTAAGCATCAAGAAACCGTCAGCAATCGTGATCGAAACTCAGACACGGGAGCTTCTGCTTTAGCGTGATATACTATTGGATTCGGCAAAAAGCAAGCAGACTTCAAAATTTTCCCATGCTCACCGCAGCATTCGCAATCAGCAATCATCAAATCTCCAAATCCACGTACTATGTAGGTGACATGTATTTCTGACACGTGCGTTAAGTGGGCGCATTCAGGGATCGATGATTCGCGACGAGGATCAGAGTCTGGTAACATGCAAGTACTTAGTTTATCCCGATAATCCCTCGATTTCGGTTGTCACGACTTCCTCTCTCGTCCTAGTCCGGGTCGTACCGACAGCGTGGGCATTTCAGGCGAGCGAGTATCCATGATGGCTTTCACAAATCTTGATACCACATCCTGTACCTATGGAGTTGGCCATTCCTTCGAAACTCCCTCCTGACGTGTCCTACGAATGTTGTCTCTCATTCTCAATGAAGATATGTTAATTAGACGATGAGGGTGAGTTAAGAACTTGCGCAACAACGGCACCATCTTTATCCCACCCCGGTAGATCTGGTCTGCATCATGAGGTCTCCATCGTGACGACATTCCTAAGATCTCGCTTCTTGTATTGATATATGCTAATAAGGAGAGCAAGGCTCTATGCTCGCCGTGATGTTTGCAGTTGTCTAAACCTCCCAGCATATCACCACAAGCTTATTTCACGTGAGAGTAGTCCGTAAGTCTTTCACCTTACCCAACCACGTAAACGCCAGGGACATCGGATGCTAGGGCGATCAGTGTGTCCGTAGATAATCGATGATGGGATGAAGCTCATATTTACTTCTAGAGGGGAGACAAGAGAACATAGTAACATACCTATGCCAGAATGTTGCCCGGCATCGTGAGAACAACCAGTTTACATAGAAACCTACTAGGTAAGACCTTGCAGCTTTGACATACACAATCAGCCCCGGGGTTTCCCCACACAGCCAATAGAATTACAATATTTTCTATATAAACTTACAATCTAGCGTTGTTTTCACAGCAGTCGCACACACGACCACTTGAATCCGAATTGGTGTAGTGGCTAACATTTGACGCTCTCATAAGTTTCCCCGGAACCTTCTGTACCGTCAAGCCCGGGGTTCGATTCCCCGATTCGGAGACATCTTCAAATTCCATTTTTTGATCATTTTTCTTTTACATTTGAGTTATATTAAGAATTATAACGACGAAAGGTTTATAATTATATTGTTAAGAAAAAAAGTGTGTATATTTTATAAAATTAAAACTGCTTTGCTTGCTGGGTCATCGTACTGTGTACTCGGTACGCTTTTTGAATTGTTACTTCCATCAATCGACATCGGGGTACGGAGTACAAGCACCTTCATATTGGTATAAAATATACTGGTTAAGTGCATAGATGCTCAAAGAGTGAGCACTGATAGCGTTTAAATGCATACCATCCTAAAGTGGAGGAGGGGCCATGGCCCGGTGGAAATTCGCTTAGCCCTCTTTCTCCAACCCACAAGAAAATTAATCTGCTGGTGGACTTTTCTGAAATTTTGACATTCGAACACCACACACATTAATCTCAAAGGACCATCAACCACCAACGTCGAGGTAAGTTTATCCATGTTTGACCTAACAATCCCCCCTCGTTATATCTCTTTCTCCTCTTCGACTTATTATATTTTTCCCTATCCTGCCAACTAATACCCAATCCTCATCAGATTCACGACATTCACGATGGCCTCGAGACCGACCGTCACCATCATCGGCAAAGATGGTACTCCCTCGGGAGCTACCCACACCATCCCTACCGTCTTCGCCTCCCCAATCCGACCTGATATTGTTCAGCAAGTCCATACCGGAATGGCCAAGAACAAGCGACAGCCCTATGCCGTGAGCGAGAAGGCCGGTCACCAAACTTCTGCCGAATCCTGGGGAACTGGTTAGTGGCCTTTTGACTTTACTATTTTCGTGAAGGAGGCTTGATGGATTGATTGATTATACTTGTGGCGATCTACGGATGGAAATCTGATCAATTTTTACTTCACTGTGGCTGCGAATGCTGACAACATCACACAGGTCGCGCTGTCGCCCGTATTCCCCGTGTATCTGGTGGAGGTACCCACCGTGCTGGTCAAGCCGCCTTCGGAAACATGTGCCGTTCTGGTCGCATGTTCGCCCCTACTAAGATCTGGCGCAAGTGGCACATCAAGATCAACCAGGGCCAGAAGTGAGTACAACACGCCTTGATCAATTTTGGGAACATGCGAACTAATAGCTCTGGAAGGCGATTCGCTACTGCCTCTGCCCTTGCCGCTTCTGCCGTTGCCCCCCTGCTCCTCGCCCGTGGTCACGAGATCTCTTCCGTCCCAGAGGTTCCTCTTGTTATCGACTCGGCCGTTTTCGAGGGAGGTGCTGCTGCCAAGACCGCCAGCGCTCTCGCCATCCTCGGCGCTGTTGGTGCCGGTGCCGATATCGAGAAGGCTAAGAAGTCCAAGAAGCTCCGTGCTGGAAAGGGTAAGATGAGAGGTCGCCGCCACCGCCAGCGTCGCGGTCCCCTGGTCATCTACGACCCCGAGGTTGACGGCAAGGATCTTGTCACCGGAACCCGCAACCTCCCCGGTGTTGAGACTTGCTCTGTCTACGCCTTGAATCTCCTCCAGCTCGCCCCTGGTGGCCACCTTGGCCGATTCATCGTCTGGACCTCGGCGGCATTCAAAGCTCTCGACGCCATCTATGGCACTACCACGAAGCCTTCCGAGCTTAAGAAGGACTTCCTGCTGCCTTCCAACCTGGTTGCCCAGGCCGATCTTACCCGTCTGATCAACAGCTCCGAAATCCAGAGTGTTCTGAATGCTCCTAAGGGTGGTGCCTTGACCAAGCGAGCCAGCGTGCAGAAGAACCCTCTGCGCAACAAGCAAGTTATGCTGCGCTTCAACCCTTACCACTCTACCTTTGTCAAGAACAAGCTCGGCCAGCAAAAGGCAGGTGAGGGCAAGCCACCCAAGCCGCCAAAGGCCTTCCTGGAGGTGCTACGTGAGGACTAGACTGGCTTGGTGAGCAGCACAGTCTGGCAGGGAGCATTGGTGGATCAATTACGATAATCATGGCGTAAAGGTTCATAGGGCTTCATGAATCAATGGAAATTCTGATTTAAACCACACCTCCCACCTGAATGCCATCATTTACAGCATACAGCTTGCCCTTGAGTGTGAACCGGTAAATTTACTACCACCTGACACCCAGTTCAACTGTAAACGTGCACCGTAGAACCCAGCTGGGCCAGACACCACTATCCTGATATACCAAACTATACCTCGTTCCATTGTCATTATATCCTCCCCAACGTTCCCGTAAACGATATGGCCTGCCATCGCTACCGTCCTTTTGCGTACCAGCCCGGCTACGAATGATCCAGGGCATATCGGTCAATCAAGCTCGTACCCAGTAAAGACCAGACTGTGTCGTCGGCATAAAATTTGAGCTACACTACATACCTTACCCAGTGTATCGAAAAGCCATAGTTCAGCTTATGACGCTCATTAATCTCTGGCCATCAACTTGTCTTGATATACGATAAGCCATCCACATTCCACATTTTAATGATACCTTGTATAGCTATTTCTCATTGGGACGCTTCACAAGACCAAGTGTATCTCTATCTTATTCAACTCTTTAACTCCAAATGCAGTCCAAATCTGGCTAGGGGGTATGGCCAGATCTTGTATGTATATCTCCGTGTATGTACATACGTATGTACGTACGGTCTGACCTTGTGAGCTCTGATATATGTAGATAACGCTCATTCAAACCCCAATCTTTGTTCCTTACTCATCCCATAATCCCGTGCGAACGTCTGACATTTAACAGCCCATCCAGGTCCCCAGGTTGGCCAAACCCGCCACCTCCTCTGTCTGCAGGCTATTAACCTCGTCCAGGATAGACTCGAGCTCCTTGACGTCCTTAAGACGCCAGAACTTCTGCACGCCCTGCGCGAAGCGCAGCGAGCATGCGTCGATGTTCTCCTCGGACTCGGCGGCGAAGCATAGCCGGAAGTACGCCCAGCCCCTCTCGTTGCGGACCTGCGGCGTCGCGCTGAACATCATACCCGGGCTGACGAGCACTAGGTGCGGCTTACGCGTGAGGAACACCATGAGAGCGGTCGACAACGCCGTCCCGTTGATGATGTTGCCCCTGGACCCGGGCGCCTTCCACAGAGGGTGTGTCTCGAACCGCATGTGTACCCAGAGGAACATGCCGCCGCGCGGCCACTGGAAGTCGTACAACTTCGTCTTGGTGATGACGCCCCAGTCGGCGTCCGACTCGCGCATCGGCGTCGACTGCTTTAGCTGGTACGAATTCTCCTCGAGGATGCTGCACATACGATTCATTCTCCTCTCGTCTGCAACAACGGGGGTCAGTAATTACTTTCTTACTAGACACAATGTCTCGAGAGTAATAACTCCCACACTATTCCTCAAAGGCGAAACACCGCTCCCGAAACAGGCTGAAAAGGGGAAAATAGAACTCTAGATGTTACTCACATTGGCCACGCAGGCCGGCAAGCCACCGCACCCACCCATCCATCTTCCAGCCGTTGAACGTGACTCGATCCTTCGCAGGCCTAGCTGCGAATGCCGCGGAGGCATCGGGTTGCGGTCCCATGATAGTCTCAGCGATGAGGACCTGGGCAAACCCGGACGGCTGCTGGGTGCCGCTCTCGCTGACCCGGAGAATGCGCTCGCATATTGCTGGCGTCGACGTGACCCACCCAATTCGACACCCGGGCGCGACAGTCTTCGAGAAGGTGTCCAGTCTCACCACTCGGCCATCCACATCGATGTTTAGGAAGGATGGGGCGAGCGAATCTAAGAACGGGTATCCGGATTTCTTCTCAAGAGTATTCGCTACCTTCGGCTCCGGGATTGGCAAGTTTCGTGCCTTGGCCTCCTCGATTTCTGCGGAAGGAAACTGAAGATACCAATACGGGTCATCCTCGACGATGATGACATCGTATTTGCTGCAGACCGAGTATATCTCCTTCCTTCGCTCCAAGGATAAGACACCGCTTGTTGGGTTGTGTCCCATTCTTGATGCATTGTGTTAGTGTAACTACATCCCTTTCCAGGTACGTTGATGTCATACAGCGTTCCGTGGCTTGCAGGGCACGCTTCTGCTTCTGCAGCCATGCGGACGAGACATTGGAAAGGGATAAACTCACGTGACAGTATACATAAAATGTGGTCGTTTCCCCTTGCTGTAGTCCCAGTTCGCAAGCACATCTTCCAAACTCCCAGGGCCATATGGCGCCATACCCTCCTCATCCATCTCGACGGCTACGACCTGAACTCCTCGTGGCTCGGCCTGGGTGAGCACACTGGAGTACATGAAAACTTCGGTCAGCATGCCCGGCCGATCGCGTATGTCGCTCTTCCCCTCGACCCAGATGTTCGTGAATACTTCTAAAGATTTGGACATGCCATCGGTGGAACCGACGGTGAAGATGACCTCTGGTCCTCCCCTGTACGGCACGTTTGGATGTAAGCAGTCCCGTGCGAATTGGCGAATGAAAGAGCGTAGAGGCAGATATCCGTCAGCTTGGCCATACTGCAGGGCAGTAGTAAGGTCAATCTTCTTTATCAAGTCCGAAGTGGGCGCATCGTGAGGTACAACAACGTGGGATGCCGTAGCCTCCTTCGATATGACCGTCCCTGCCATCTGCGACGACAGGTCGTCGGTGCTCGGACGGTTCGGCGACGGAGTCCATCGATTCGGCGTCGCGGTCTGAGCTTCGATGGTGTCGAAGGGGAAATGATTAGGATTGGGGAGACCTGAGAGACATTGGATCATCAGCTTCCACAGCTACCTTAGGTCGAAGCGATTGATCAGGATATCATACCGCCGGCAAGTTGTCCTATGCCTGGGATCAGAAAGTACTTGTAGAATTCCTTCATCTTGCTTGGGGCCCGAGCCTTGGTCACATCGGAGTAGTGGTGGGACATGTCCTTAGGCATGGGTTTCGCCATCTCGGCAATGTTGTCAGTAGACGCTTCCATTGTGTACCTGGACGACTCGATGGTGACACTGCAGTGTACGTTTATATGATACAATTGAAATATTTGTGCTACAAATGAAGTTGCTGTACAAGTTGAA